TAAAGAGAGGAACGGCCGGCAGAGAGGCAGCTGCAGAGCTGGGTTAGGGTCTACTTGGAGGCTCATGGGACTTAGTAAGTAAGGTTATAAGTAGGTTATACTTAAGATAACCCCACTTGGGGGACTTATAACCCTACTTATGACTTACTTATTAAGTCCCATGATCCTCCAAGTAGAGTCTAGAGTTTGCTTTAGGGCCTAGGGGTTGGGGGATCCCGAATACATGTCCCTTCGTCCCCAGTAACATCTCCACTTCGACGGCTTTTTTGCCTTGAAGCCAAAACCTCAAGGGCATAAAAGTTCGAACTTTCAGAATAAGACTACCTCATAAAGAGCCCAGAAGTTGAAAAGCTGGGTTTCGGACCAATAAGTTTGTAGTGGTACCATACCGTAAGGTTTGGTTTGAGCGTGGAGCCTGTAGCTGCGGGACCGCGAGATTCAAAGACGCAGGTTTGTTGCCCGTCGCCTTGCTAAGACGAGCCTACAAGGTTTGGGATCAGGGCTTACGAGGCAGTTTGTGTTGTGGTCCCTTTTCCATCAGCAGAGGTACTGCGCAAGAATTCCTGGTTAGGATGAGGCTGTTAGCAAAGGACAAAGGCTGAAGGACACATTTAATGAACTCACAGCTACGCTAAGAACTAGTATACCCTAAGCCCTAAACCTCAACTCTAGCAAAAAGAAGCCCTGGAATCGCCCAAGGTCCGTTGCCGCCAGGTGTTGCATTGGATTGATTTGTAGGGTCTGCCTATACATATACCTACCTTCCTTATAACCCTACGAACAAGGTCCCATGATCCTCTAAGGAGACCGGAACTTAGTGCATAACCGCTGTGCGGACCTTGTTCTTTTCGTAGGCAGGGTCTAGGAAGCTTAGTGTTAGGGTTTAGTTCAACGACCTTCGACGAATCACAAACCCGAATAGAGGGGCCTGATTGAAGTGTGTTGTTTTGAGAGGGGGTCAAAACCACCGCTCCTTCATCTGCTCAACACGGAAGTTGCTGACACCTGCATCACGAATGACGCCTGCCGCCGTGTGTTGCGGCTGGGGGCTTTGGATTCAGGTTCTATACAGGCTGCATTGCTTGCAGCAATGGGGGTTAGCATGTTGCTGCGTAGTTTGGCTCACAAGCGCTGTCAACAAAAACCTGGCACTAATTCCCTGAAGGCTAAACTACAAACCATAGACCCTAAAGGTCAAGAAACCTCAGCGCTTTGACCCAGAAACCTAGAGCCTAAACGTCACTATATCCCTCAGCAGCTGTATTTAGATTCTGCCGGCAATACTATAGTATAGTTCCTGCATAACGTTAGTGAAGCTAGAAAAAACCCTCCCCCTCTCACACCCAGCAGTGATCACTCACGCACCTAACATTTCTAATTTCATAAGATGGAGAACTACCGTTGTGGGCTTCATAATGCTTCTATCAAACATTCAGGCTTCTGGTTTAGGCTTAGGGGCTGTTTGGGTGGGAGGTCTGTGGTTTTCTGCCCGCCGCAGGTAGGGTTTAGGGTTTCGTGCTTGTCTTAGGGGTTTCAGGGCTGCTAACCTATACCTGGCTAAAACTCGGGCCTCGCAATCAACTATCAAGCAGTTCGGCCGTGCATTTATTCAGAAGCGAGCACTCCTGAAACAATAACGTGAATGGCCGAACTCAAGCAAGTGTCCAGGAGGCCCTAAAGTCTGATTTTCATCCCAAGACCTGACTGAAACTGAAAACCTAGACGCGAAACCCTAAACCCGTGGTTTTGCGTTGTAGGGTTTTGGGGTTTCAGGATCGGGCCTCGAAGTCGGGCAGATGTTTAAGGCCTATTGGAGGTTAGAAGGAGGGCCGAGGTACTGTTTTTTTTTTTTTTTTTCAAATTTTTCGGTTTTAGGGCTGGGTTCTGGCTCCCTTATAGGAGACGCTTCTATGGTGACTCCTCTCCAAACAGCGTCCTCCCAGCTCTTCGGCACTGTTGAGCCTCGCTCGCGAAGCTCGGAAAGCGCTTTCCAGGTTGCCTTGCGGCAGGTGACCTCGCAGCTGAGCACAGCCACGTCGTCGTCCCCTTCTTAAACCTACTTCCCTGGTCCAGTGTTCGTTAACCGTGTGAAATTTGAGCATGCAATAGGACTGTGGTGTGTCGTGCCAAGTGGGGGTTTCCGAAAATAGGTGACCCTAGTACAGTACCCTAAACGGTAGGATCCGTATTATAAGGCCCCCAAAATCAGGTACCCCTAATTTTCGTAAACTCCCAAGTGGCCATTGTCATCAAATAAAGCTTTTGACCGCTTCATTCTCGCAGCCTGCAAGACTACCCAAAGGCCCCAAAGTAGTTCCTTTTTGGGGTTCGTATATAGAATCCTATGAGGTATTCCAAAAAAAAGAACTAGTTTGGGGTCTCCTGGTACCCACTAGCCGTCAAGCAAGTAGTCCTGAGTAGCACCATCCATGAAGCAGCAAAAGCTCAAGTTTGTCCAGAGAGCATGTAAGAGCGCTATGCACCAATGTCGGTTGTGTGCCAGTGTGTACCCCAACTTGTCAGCAACTCATTTGCTGAGGCGCTAGCCTTAGCTAAACTGTTTGCTCGGATCGAAAAAGAAAACGTCTCGTGCACCTACGAGGGCGTCGAGACATGGTCACCTACATGCCGCCATGTGGGTAGTTGTCAAAATTATGGTCCTGTTTTGGGTTCTTAATCTGATACGGCACCTAATATTTAGGATGCCCAAAAGAGGGACCATAATTGTGACAACCACCCATGTGTATCTTGGTTGAAGCTGCTACACAATGTAGATCGGCTCTTCGGGCTTCCCAGCTGTAGGCCCTGAGCCCTAAACCGATCCGGGCTCAGGGTTTAGATGTCCTACCCAGAGGCCCCAAAGTAGTTCCTTTTTCCCTGTGCATCAAAATAGCCCAAAAGCCTTATATAATATGGTCTTTGGGCCCAAAAGCCTTAATAGATGAGTCAATAGATGCTTAGGGTTTGGGATTCGTATATAGAATCCTATAAGGTAATCCCAAAAAAGAACTACTTCGGGGCCTCTGGGTAAACCCGAGGGTCCTCAAGCCTGAAGGGCCCTGAGTCAGTGCTCGTACCCAGAGACTCCAATATCCCTCAATTAAGCAATATACCGTAAATTATAGTAGGATCCCTAATATGATTTAAGGAATATTCCTTAACTAAGGGGTATTGGAGTCTCTGGGTACATTTCGATCACGACAACCCATTTCTGAGCCCTTCCGATTGGTCTCGCTTCTCGGGTTTAGCCAGAGGAACCAAAGTAGTTCCTTTTTGGGATTACCTTCTAGGATTCTATATACGAACCCCAAAAAGGAACTACTTTGCGGCCTTTGGCTAATCCTCGTAAAGCCGTGTTCCAACTTTCTGGCTTCTACCATCTGGGGTTTAGGTTTCAAGGTTCACAGTAGTTCTGAGGACGGGAGAGTATTTCAATTTGATACCCGCTATAGCCTTAGCCCTAGAACCTGAGATTCTGATGCTGAAACCCTAAACCCTAAACCCTAAAACCCTAAACCCTAAACCATCTCACACCGTACATAACATCGTGCAAGTCGAAGGCCTGGTCCCCGCAGTCATGGCTGCTGAACTCGTCCCCCTGCGGAGTTTGACATTCAACACCGCTAGGGCGTGGGCTTGAGAACAACAGTACTCCGCGGTCTTTAGCTTCTCAGAGTATGCTGTTTAGGAAATGCGGCCGACCTTTAGGATTAATTAAGGGTCCTTCCGGTTCTGTGGCTGAAGACTAAGCCCTAAAACCTAAAGTACTAACTTGCGAGATGCGTGAGTCATCTTGCAGCACAGCCGGCCCAACATCTCAATCTAATGGAGGCCGAAACTCTAAACTCGAAACCAAACAGAGCAACCCACTTCAACCCGCACATCTAAGCCCCTAAAAACTATACAGGAAAAGCGGCAGTCGTCAAACTTCAAGACAACAAGAGCGAAACCTTCAATTTGCCCTTGCTTCAAAAGGTTTCCACCCACACACGCGCACGTTCAGGGCTTGGGACAGATATTGGGGCCTGAGAATTGGTATAGGGTTCCTCCATGAGTTCCTTCAGTGGGTTCTCGCAGGGTTGCTATGTGAGTTCTTTTCAGTGCGGCATGATTATAGAGCTTTAACAGCTAAAACAGGGCTTCGGGTATAAGACAAGTCTAGCAAGCAGCCCTAGGAAATAATGTTGGTAATCGTTTTGGCTTCTCTAGCATTCCTGAAATGCTTTTGGGTCTCACGTTCCCCCCTGTCTCCACTCAAATACCTGTCAAGGAACCCTGTTCACCATCATAAACGATTCGTTGCTTTGTTCAAGAGCATGCCCCCCTCCCCCCTCACGAAAGCGACGTCTAACAAGCGAACACCGTCAATGCCTCTCAACAAAAAAACATCGGAGCCCCACAACCCTAAACACCCAGAATCCGCTCTTAGCAAAGAGTCTTGACAATAATATAAAACTATACATACATCGCGGTTTACGTTCTATGGCATCACTATGAGACTATAGGGCTAGAATGAAAAATCTCAAGCTCCCATATGAAGTCGTGATTCACGACTGCATCGGCATCAGCATCTTGAATTGAATCGTAAAGCAAAAGTACTGAAACTCCCGTACGATGAACATGAGCCCTCTTCTAAAACGTTGATTACGTTCCGCTTTTGACTGTGGGGCATCGTGGCTTGGTGTAGTGGGGTGTCTGGGCTTGGAGTTGGGTTAGTGACGGCTAGGGTGTTTACCGTAGCCGTCACTAACCCACCTGAACAGCGAACCGCACTTCTACGGAAAGCAACTGCCCGACCCTTGTGGCGATTCTCATTGAGGGCGGGAGCTCTAGTTCTTTCAGGAGAGTTCAAGCACGGGATTAGGGGTGCAGGCTTAGGGGTTCGCGATCCCGGAACCCTACCTGCAATCCAAAAACCCACTGTTTTAGGGGTTAGCCCCTATTAAGGGGTCCTAACCTACTGTTCCGTAGGGTTTGGGGATGCGGGTAAACTCCATTAATTAAAGGATACTGGAAGGCGTTGCGCAAGCCAGCTGCTTCAAGCTCATGGCCTCACCGATGAACTGATTCAAGCCGCCCCAGTATGCGGCGACCATGCGCCAACTGATCTTCCGCGGGGCATGCAACAAGACGAGATCCTTAGATCGACCGATGACTCAGGACGTAGGGCTAAATATGATTTGGGCAACCCCGGAAGCCCTTAAACCCCATTATTTGGGGAAACTCGGGGGCAAACACCCCTAAACGCTAAGCCTGAAGTCTGAGCTTGTGCTTTTGTTTCGTCTTCTTCTTGCATGCATTGTAACGTCCATATAACACTAACTCACCCAGTATATCTGCTGACATAATTCAAGTGTTCTTCAGGTCTATATACACTTGCCCAATCGTCATCGAAGCTCTACAGTACCAAGTAGAGGCCCGGTATACACGAGCTGTCAATCGATCCTTATGACGGTTATGGTCCGGGACCTCATTTCAGGACACCTCCAACCTAAAGCTTCTGAACCCTGGTCGTAAGGCTCATATCTAAACGAAACTGTGAAACCCCAAACCCTGTGCTGCAACACATTAAGATCCCAAGCCCTAAACTCCCAAATCCCACAAACCTAAAGGTTGCACCCGGTCCCTCAAATAACCAACACCCCTGTTTTACAAGGGACTCGACTGCTGCCCTTACTGCCCTGAAGCCTGACTTGCTCTGGCCACGAGGACTGCAAAACCATGAGAGGCGGTAGAGTGGAGAGGTTTGGACACTTTGCGGTGTCGGTTTTTTGTGGCAAAACCCTGAACCTTAAACCGCGTTTTAGGGCTTTGGATGGATACCGTCTTAGAGATTAGAGAATCCAAAGTCCCACCCGTAGCTTATGGCTGCAAGGCTGCGATGTAATCCACGTCAAGCTGCTTCACCCTCCGGCGGCAGGTTAGTGCGTTGAGGGCCTATATTGAGGCTTATGGGATTTTTGGGGTGTTTCAGGTTTAGGGCTTATGGCTTAGAGGTCTGGGTTAGGGATTTTGAACTCCGAAGGCCAGTTCGGGGCGGGGGATTCCCAGCAAATTCTTCGCCAGGCATGAGGAGGATGAGGTTCCAACTTTCGGGCTTGTACTTTTGAAAAAGCAGCGAAAAACCCTCTTGCGAGTCTTATTAACCCTACCTTGACCCTCTCGCAGGCTTCGCTTGTGCTCGCAGATACTGTGGCGAAGAGATCTGTTCCATATGTTGCGGATCGGGATTTACGCTTTAAGCTTTAGGGTATCATCCGGGGTTGGAAAGGCAGCATCCCGAGGAATCGACGACACGCTTATGCGTTCTGATCTTGGCCGGCAATGAAATCCTCCCCTCCGTCGGAAATTCTTGAAAGATACTCAAGCTCACTAAGCGAGTCAGACGATGTCTTGAGTTAACCCTCCTCAATGAGTCACTCTTAAACCCCAGAACCCTAGCCCAAAGCCGAAACTCTCGACGATGCTATGAACCCACGACAACACCCATGCAAACTTAAGCCTAAGCCCTATCCCGCCCGAAACTCCCGAACCCCAAACCCTGAACCCCTAACACCACAAGCAAAGAACGACAGGTAAGAAACAAGAGCACCCTAAACCCTCATGGCCCGAAACCCTTCCGACTCCTACCAAAAACAAGCATTAGCAAAGACCGCGCCTAGGGCCTGGGATAGGGAAATCTTGAAATCCCGACATGCCCAAACAATCTCTCTTTACCCAGAGGGCCCAAAGTAGTTCCTTTTTGGGAGTACCTTATAGGATTCTACATACGAACCTCAAAAAGGAGCTACTTGGGGGCCTTTGGGTAAAGCCCCGTGAAGATCCCTGGTGCGAAGAGCCCTCAGAGCCGGAGGGCATGCGGCCCACGGCAGCCGTGGTCGCATCGTAGCCGAAGGACGCAGGCCAGACCTTCGTCACCTTCTCAGAACCCAGAGACTCCAATATGCCTTGATTAAGAATATACCTTAAATTGTGGTAGGATCCCTAATATGATTTAAAGAATATTCCTCAATTAAGGGATATTGGAATCTCTCAGAAGCTCGGTTTAGACTTTCGCCCCAAAGTAGTTCCTTTTTGGGGTTCGTATATAGAATCCTATGAGGTAAACAAAAACAGGAACTACTTTGGGGCCTCTGGGTAAGGTGTTTGCCTCTTAGGGCTGTCATACTGCTTTACGACCTTCTTCTTTTCGATTTATGTAAGATGTGGTCAGGCTCAGTATCTATCGAGCACTCAGGGTTCAGGGTTCGACTCGAGGTCCCTAAACCTAAATCCTAGTCCCTAACCTTTAAATCCCTAAGCTAAGCAAAGCCCTCAACCCCTAAATCCTAAACCTCTGTAGATCTAGTTCGCGGCATCGTCTGAGGCTTTGGGGCTTTACAGCAGCAGAGCAGAGGTAAAGGGCTGGAGGAGGATGTTAAAGGGCTTTTAGGAATTGGGGTTTAGGGGCTTAGCTTAGTGTCTGGGGTCTATTACGGCTTCAGGGGCTTAGGGTTTAGGGTTTTTAGGTTTTGACAAGTAGCCTGGGTTCTTGTTCAGGAGTTTAATTTAAGTTACCATCCCTGAAAGCCCTCCATCCTGAACCGGTTTGAGGGCTGGGGAGTATGACTTAGTTGCTGAGTTCAAAAGCCCCCCCAAAGTGTACACTTTCAGTTTTATAGAGGGTAATATTACCCCAAAGAGTTTAAAGTGTATCCACTCAGCTACTAAGATGAATCTTCATGAAGGCCGTTGTACGCTACGCGGTTTTAGCGGTCGGCGAGGGCCACTCCGGGCTCCAGGTGCTTTCGGTTCTATACGGTCTCTGCGGCTGCTTGAGGTATGAGTGTGCCTAAACCATGCAGCGTATCATACAGCACATGCATATGCCCAAAAGCTTCAGAGGCCTACATAAGTTTATACTAGATGATGAAGGTTGTCACTTAAAGGAGTCCTCAGCTCACCGCACTTTACCCAAGCTTCGGCTGCGCATGTACTGAAATCCATCACCCAAGAAGGACCCACCACAGTACAGCCCCTAAAAGCTGAAAGCCTTAAACGCCCCCAACCCTGAAACCCCCAAGCTCTTGACCCCTTAAGCTCTATACCCTAAACCCTAAACCTTAAAACCCCCAAGCCTCTAAACCCCCTGAACCCTATACCCTTTTTGCATCCAGGACTCTTGCAATCAGCCGGGAAAATGCACAAGACAGCGCGTAAACCCTCCAGCAGCACTCGTGGTAACCCTATACCCTAAACCTTAAAACCCCAAGCTCTAAACCCTCTAAGCCCTATACCCCATGAGCCCAAGTGCAGGCTAAGGGTCGAGAAACACCTCGCTTCGAGGCACACCTGCTCCCGAGTCGGTATTCTTTTGCCACCCGCCCAGCTAAACCCTAAACCCTAAACCGTAGGGAACTCGTCAGAACTAGCTCCGAGGGAAGGCCCCCAGGGACAAAATGCACTCCCAATCGAAGAGCCCACAAGCAAGTCGGTATTCTTAGGGTTTGAGGTTTTTTTCCCTCCTACCTGTTTAGATTTAGGGGTTTAGGGTTTTTGGAGTTTTTAAGGGTTTCGGGTTTAGGGGTTTCGGAGTTTAGGTCTCCTTTCCTTATATAAGGACACCCGAATTAAAGGTTTAAGGAAGTTTATGGTTCAAGCACCATCTAGTTTTGATCGCGCAAGGGACACACGTCCGCACTTCCACGGGTCATGTGATCCTGAAGGCTAATGTAGGGGCCTTAATAATCAGATCAGAATAGGGTTTGTTTTGTTCCTTTTTATAATTCTATAGTTAATTATAACAGGACAACCCCCCCACCCCCGCCCCCCGAAATAGTATTAGTAAATATTTACGGCCCCCTATATTAACTCAGCTGCAGGTCATCTTTAAGGTTTAGGGTTCTTCGAGCGCTTCCGTAGACAACTAAACCTGAAAGAAGGACAAGGAAGGAAGGATGCCCATGAACCTAGGAATAAAAAGGGCTCCCTGTCTGGTATTGGGTAGGATGCCCATGAACCTAGGAATAACAAGGGCTCCCTGTTTGGTATTGGGTTAGGACTAGGAAAAACGGAAAAAAGGCCCACTGGGAGGCCGCCTTAGGGACTCCAAGCTTGCGATCAAGGGCTGAGTAATGCTGCAACCTAGCACCCTCCTCGGACTCCTATCAAAAGTTTCGAAACCACGCCGGTTTTGGAGAAGGTGAATAATGTAGCGGCCTGAAATAATTACCGATACTATTTCGGGGTTCCTTATTCTCTAGAATTTTAGTATAATGCCCCCCCCAAACCCTATTCTCATTCTTCAGGCCCCTATACTACTAAAGTTACTAAAGAAAGGCCGCCCGCATTGCTTACTTCCCAAACACCCATGGGGTAAAATGTTCTAACTTTCAACACAAGACTACCTTGTAAGAGGCCAAAAGTTGAAAACAAATGGGTAACATTGAAGCAGTCTCTGAGCTTTGTATGGGTAGTTGTCAATATTCTAGACCCAAGAGTAGCCTAGGAATAAAAAGGGTGCCCTTTTTGGTTTAAAGGATAAGGGAACCTGAACCCTAAAAAAGGGAATAAGGGCCCACTCTCGGGACTTAGTGAGGCTCCTTTTTTGGGTACCCTAAATATTAGGTGCCGTATCATAATAGGGACCCAAAAAGAGACCCTGATATTGACAACCACCCATATCGCGTCGAGGGCCTCAATGTCAGAAAGTTTTCAGAATTGCAAGGAATAGGGATCCTAAGCCCTAAATGGATCCCAAAATAAATTACCCCCTAAATTTCGGAAACTCCCAAATCCCTAAACCCTAGGCCTAAACCCTTGATGAGGGGGCCTCCGGCGGGATGTTCAGTCAGCAGACAGGATATGAGCCACAGAAACCCAGGTTGTGGTTTTTCACATGCCTACACTGCGTGGTCAGTTTAGATTTTAGGGTGCTGAGCAAACACCACGCTAAATGCCGGCTGCCGCACGCGAAAAAGAGAGGCAAAGAACACTTAGAAGGGCTTCCGAGGTTCAGGGTTTGTTTAGGATTTATGGTAACACAGCAGTTTGAGCTGCCTCGCTTTGCCGCCTCCTTCAAAGCTTTGCCGATGGGAACCTTGCCGTTTTTAGAGGAGTAGGATCGTTTGGTGCCAGGCGGGTGTTCATGTAGGTTTAGGGTTTACGTAGCATGCCTAACCTTTCTTTAATTTGTTGGGGTGCACTGGATTCAGGAAACTAGCATGTGAACAAGAAGCGTTATTATGTGCCGTCAACGCTTCCAGTTTTTCGTGACTGCCATTGCCACTACATTGATACGGCCACCACTGATGCGACGACGACAACGACTACTTCTAGTAGTATTTGGATAGCTCTCTGAATTAGGGTCCCTTTTAGGCTCCCTGTTACAGAGGTGCCGTACTATTTTGGACCCCAGTTTAGAGAACTACTCATATGACTGCTCAGTACCTACTAGACCCATCGCTGAAAAGACATAACTGCGGTTCAGGGTTTGGGGTTTACCAAAAGAGAATAGCAGTGGAGCGCGTCTAATTCTCAGAGCCATAATGGATTGAAGCAATCACCATAGCTTGGGTACTGCCCCCATACAGCAACAGTCTATAATGTGGCTACTATTACGGTCCTAATAGTATCCAACTGTTCCTGAGTGGGGGCAGTAACCAAACCAAAGCATCCATTCAAGCTCCTCTGTGATGGATAGGAAGACGATGAAGAAGATGAGTTCGTGAAATCAGGATAGACCGCACACCCTCCCCAAAAAACCTACTGCAGTAGGACTCCTCATAGAATCCTTTGAAAGAGGGTCTTTTTGGGATCCATGAAAAGGGCGTGGTGGGAGTTGAGCCCTCTTGAGTGTTGTGGATTTGTATAGCGGGTTTCGGTTTTTTTTCCGTCCTACTTGGCAAGGACGAAGCCAGCCTTGCAGGGTACTTCGGCAACATATGCTAGATGTTCGGGTTTTTTTGACACTCACACTCGGACTTAGGTTTTAGGGCTTGGGGTTCAGGGTGTAGGATTCAGGGTGTCGACACGCAGGCTGGCACGGATCCAAGCGACATTTAGGGGTTCAGGGTTTAGACTCTGATTTAGTTAGTGGCTTCTTGTGCTGCAATGAGTTCCCAATCCCATACACAACTGTGCAAGAAAGGGCATGCATGCGAGCAGCACAACCAACAACACCACTTGACAAGTGCATGTCTATACTTTGCATCTCATGACGTGAACAAAGTTGATAACAAAGTTTGAAATCGAATCAGGATGCAGAATTCCGTGAGATTTGCGTTGACAGCATGCTGTGTTCTATGCTAAAAAAACAGAAAACCCATAAAGCCCTAAACCGTACTACCAAGAATAGCAACACCCATAATATCACGAACAAGAAGCGGCATACTAACCCATGCCAAGAGGCATGGTTGCCATAGATGTGGGCAGTGTCAATGTGACGGCCGCCTCTAAGGCTTGGGGTTCCGTAAACTATAAAACCCCTTTTTTTGCCACTGGACTCAAGTCTAGCCAGTCTACGACCCACAATCATCTTGACCGAGGCCGACATGCAGCACCGATACACCAAGCCATAAAACCCTAAACTTCAAACTCAGGGCCCTGAAGAAAATAGCATAGGCTCTGCGGGTATGTTATGGTATACGTACAAGAAGGAGCCGTAAGCAATACTGCTTATACTACGGAGGCACAAGCAAAACGCATTGTCAACTAGTCAGGCTTGTATACTATACCCCATGCTACGGTAACCCAAACTTAGCAAAGAAGCCCTCTCCTCAAGCTTTTTAGGCTTAGATGTGGTGTATACCGACCCACAGCCGACCCCTATGCGCTAATAAGGCTCCCTCCCAAGCAGCACTGAGCAGCCCTAAACGAACACAGAAGCCTAAAACATTCTAAAACCCTATATAAAGCCCTACAGGACTAAACCCTAAGCCCTAAGCCCCCCCCAAATCTTAAAGCCCCAAGCCGCAAACTGCCCTAAACCCTGAAAGCCTAAACCTTAAACCCGTGACGGACCTTGAAAACAGCGAGCTCGTAACCCAACAGCGTATATGCCGAGTCTAATCGCTCGGGACGGACTGCAAATACATGGGCATCGACTCTCGGAGCTCGTACAACCCAGAGACTCCAATACCCCTTAATTAAGGAATATACCTTAAATCATATTAGGGATCCTACTATAATTAAAGGTATATTCCTTAATTAAGGAATATTGGAGTCTCTGGGAAGGCAGGCAAGGATCAGCACAAAGTCTGAGATACTGAGTCAGACTCTCTGACACTGCCAGCGAATACTCTCGAAAGAAAGCTACGACAGCCTGCAACCCCAACAACCCCAACACAGTCCACAACGCCAAACTCAAAGTTCCTTCAATACTCGCAGTTCCTCCACGCAGCACGGTGTAGCAGGCCACATCACTGCACGACAGCGCATGAGCTGCTAGATCTGCCCAATGTCTGCACGGCAAGGTGCGGCGAGGACCGCTATGACATCCTCGTCGGGCAGCTCCGTTGTCGGCCCCCGTTTTACCAGAGGGGGCCCCTCTTCCAAATGAGCACGCTTGGTGCAGCGACGAGGCATCGAGATCTTGCCATAGGGCTCCAGATACCAAATAGTAGCATATAACATATATCAGATATCCCAGTAACCTACTATACCAGGATACCCAGTAACCTTAGAATAAAAAGGCCTCTCTTTTTGGTATTGGGTAACTTTATAAGGAACCTAGGACTACAAAAAGGGAACAAGGGTACTACTGGGCATCCTAGTATATTGGAAACCCCAGTAACCTACTATTCAGGTAAAGGGAGCCTCGGGTTAGACAAAAGCCCCTGAAGGCTCGCGTCTTGGAAGATCTCCCGCGGCAGTACTTGCCATACTTGGAGGATCATGGGACATAGTAAGTAGGTTCTAAGTGGGGTTATAAGACCCCTAAGTGGGGTTATCCTAAGTATAATCTACTTATAACCTTACTTACTAAGTCCCATGAGCCTCCAAGTAGGAAGCTGGGAGAGCGGTCCGCGGCTCTAGGCGGCTGAAACCCACAATACAGGGGCCTCAATAAACAGAATAGGGTTCCTCTAAAGGGGCCCTATAAGGGTACCCTATAATATTGTAGGGGCCTGAATAATTAGAAGGGGCTTTTGGGGCTCATTTTACTCTAATTATGGAAAGGAGCCCCGAAAAGAGTATTGGTAATTATGTTGGCCCCTATATTACACAGATCTTCGAAACGGTCTCTGCTGCATTACTGTCACAATACTTATACAGCGCCTGCAGTAGGGTCCTAAGATTTTGTGGGTTTGGGGTGTACTTAAAGGATCATGGGACTTAGTAACTAGGGTTATTATTAGGGGAGCTATACTTATAATTAGTTATAACCCCAATGAAGGGACTTCTAACTACAGTTACTAAGTCCCATGATCCTCCAAGTAGGGCCTGTAGGGCTTGTAGGGCCTGTAGGGCTTTTAAGCTTTAGTTATTCAGAGCAGGAAAATAGATCCGGAATATGTGATGTGTCATGTCGACGCCGGCTATGCAAGCTGCAAGAGCAAGACCACCATTGCCATTTAGAAGCTGCCCCAACCTTATATTCCTATTATACCACTATTACAGGGTGGGGGCCCAACCTTATAGGAGGTTATAGGAGCCCTATAGATCCCTTTAAAGGAACCCTCAAAGGGGCAGCTTCTAAGTTGCCATCATCAACGCCCCGGCCCAAAGCCAGAAGCGGCGAGAACTTCCTTGGGCGAAGACATCTGCTCAATACTCTTTTTGCCTGAACAGCTTGTCCCATGAACCCTAAAGCCCTAAACCCTAAAGCCCTAAACCCCCAAACCCACAAAACCCTAAACCCCACAAAGCCTATAAACCCTAAAACCCCTAAACCCTAAACCCCCAAATCCCTAAACCCTAAAACCCTAAACCCCTACACCCTAAACCCTAAAACCCTAAACCCTGTATCGTGCCGGCCGACTTTCTGAAGACGATCCTCTAGTCAACCCTTTGAAACATCCCCAAAACACCTCCTCTCAGTTGCTGAGTCCATAATACCGCCAAAATTGTACACTTTCAGTGGGTAATATTATCCCAAAAAGTGAAAAGTGTATCCTCCCAGCTACTAAGTCTTCTGATCCCAGTAATAGGTGGCTGAAGCCCATAATCTAGGGGCCTTATTAAATAGAATAGGCTTCCGTTAAAGGGGCCCTCTAAGGGTTACTATAAGGGGTTACTATAAGGGTACTGTATAATCACATAGGGGCCTTAATGATTAGAATGGGGTTCTGGGGCTGATTATATTATAATTATAATGAGGAGCCCACCCCCCCAAATTACCAGTGGTAAATCTTAAGGCCCCTATACTAAACAACCACGGCCAGCGCACCTGACAGCAGGTACCAAAGGATGCTGTTGTAAACACTGTCTTCGTCGTACCTCGGGTGCTCCATGCAGAAAAAATGCTCCAAGAGCCTTTTATAATGGAATGTACGGAAAATCACATTCAGGATCACCCTAAACCCCAAACAGCCCATACTTATCTAAGGTATCTTCCGAAGTCAGAAGGGCTCGAATTTCGACAATTGCATGCTATAAATGGCTATAAACTCTCAACCCTCCGCGAACCTAAGCCCTTATGGCCTTAGGGGCAATTCAGGGACCCTGAAGTAGGGGAAACTTGGAACCCTGCACCCTAAACCCAAAACTTCGAAATCCAAGAAACGCGGTTGGCCGGCAGCACATGCCGATACCGTTTGCTGGCATCTTCCTCAGAGGCTTCCCAGGTCTGGAACAAGGTTAGAGAGGGTTGCATAGAGGCAGGCACTTCGAAAGGTACCGTTTTGCACAGACTTGTATCTGCCCGCCTGGATGTCGGATGTCAGAGCCGCTGCGCTCAAACCCTAAACCCTTGGAAGGCTCCATAAGTTCCGGCTCTATGAAGATGGCTTGTAGGAATAAGGGTTTGAGGCTTCAGGCCCTTAGGATCTTTGGCTACAGGATTTTGAGGGTTTTTTGGGGTTTAGGGTTCGGCTTTGCAGTCTAGGGTTTTGATTATTGAATTCGTGGAAAAACAGATACCTATCCTAACCTGTAAAGGACAAGGACGGAACGGGTGCTAAGGCCGCGAAATTCAAGAAGTGGCGTTCTCATGCTGAAGCGACATCGTACTACGACGCGAAAGACATCGAATTGGTATGGCTCGAAACTGCGATGACTACATTCGAAAAAGCAAATACCAATAGCAACTTGCGACAGCTGGCCTCATGACACTTGCAACGATGTGTAAGACTTTTGGGTCTGGTGTCGAGGGCTTCGAATTTAAAGGCTTACCATGCTGTAAGACTGTAAGGCGTATAGAATGGCCTGATTAAAGTTGCAACGGTCGCAGGGTTGCTACGTAGTTTACAGGCTTTGTCGGCTTGTTCGAGGTATCTTCGGTTTCCCAGCAGCACTTAAGACACACTGCCCTAAACCCTAAACCCTTAAACCCTGAAACCCTAAACCCTAAACCCCTAAAGCTCTAAACCCTAAACCCTTAAACCCTGAAGCCTTAAACCAGTTTTTATCAGGCGACCTTCAAAGGAAGGGTAACTCGGGTACAAAGTAGAAGAGAGTTTCGATGTATATGGTAGTTTCCGAAAACTAGGTACCTTTGTTGGGGGACCTCATAGTAAAGGATCCTACTATCTAGGGTACTATCTTAGGGCCCCCTATTGTCGGAAACTCCCATATGGTAGTCACATAAACTCTTCTTTTCTGCCATCCGTTTTTTGACCCCAGACCTGAACTTGAATGAAATGGAGGTACGAAGTAGAAGAGGATTTCGGTGTATGCTGTACTATGGTTATGTGGGGACTACACTGGATACTAAGACTGAAGATTCCGGACTCCAACCCAAAGTCCTTAAGGGCCTAAGCCCCTAAGCCCTTCAAGCCCTAAACCTTATAAAACCCCGTTTTTTGCATCAGGACGTGTGCCATCGCCTGAATACATGGACGGAAGGTCAGCACTCCTGACTGCACTTCCATACCCTAAAACGCCTAAACCCTAAACCCTTGCCCTAAAACCCTAAAACCCAAATACGCTAATCCCGCAACACAGATAGAGGCGAGCTGCCCGCCACTCGGCATGGGAAGGAAAAGCTCGTTACCTGAAATATACGTGAAGGGATAAGAGTCGGCAGAGGGAGTAGTTTGTTTTTTTTTGAGCTCTTTTCAATATCTGCCATCCGCAAGTCTGACACACTTGGGGTTCAGGGTTTGGGGTTCAGGGTTTACGGATTTTTACCGATCTGGGCTTCTGAGCTTAGAAATCTCTTCGGTTTTTCCCTCCTACCTAGCAAGGACGAGCCCGCATTGCAGGGTATCTCCGATGTATCGGTTGAAAACGGCATCGCGGTGGTGGGGGTTTTGGGCTTTAAACGAGTGTTCGACTCCATGGTTAAGCCGTGGGTACTCAGTGGCTTACAGGGCTTAGGAGAGAGGAACTCATGGTTCGAGGACCTTAGGGTATGGATATTGTATGGCAATTCAAAGTTCAGCAAGGAACCTTCTAAATCCTCACCCTAAGCTTCCAGCAATCTTGTTCTTGGGTCCTTAAGGAGCCTAGGGCCCCAACTAAAAGGTCCTTGGAAGCATAGGGCAATTCATCCTAAGCAGAGGCTGCAAATACTCACAATTCAGGATTTCATGGGACAAGTCGGGGTCTCCGCGGCGGGGCTTCCGCGAAGAGCCACAGCACCATGTGCTGAGGCTTGCTCAGGGTTTCCGCGCTCACACTCGGACAATCCAGGCGAGGCATGTGGTCCGAGGTCTGTGGAGTGAAACGACTCTACTAATGGGAATGACAAAGTAATTAACGAGGGAAAGGTAAATATATCAACACATGCATTCCCCATCTAGAGTCCAACGGGTTTAGGGTTTAGGGTTCCAAACGACTGAACAGCACCGCCGACAGTGCATGCGCGGCAGGGGAATCAGGAGCGGTGCCCGAGTGTGTGGCATACAAGGTAGTACGCGGCCTGCCATCGACATAAGGGAGTTTCCGAAATTTTGGGGGGTACCTATTTGGTGTCCTTATAATAAAGATCCCACTATTTAGGGTGCTATATTTGGATCCCCTATTTTCGGAAACTCCCACTTTGTGCGCTGGAGCTGAGCAAGCATGATGCGGTGGGTCTCCGGAGGCAACTGCAAGCCCTCCATCCAGCTGCCTTCCTGGATGTCCTGGTAGGATTTCGAACCCTTATATGGGAGTTCCGAAAATAGGGGACCCTAAGATCGTACCCTAAGTAGTCGGATCCTTATTATAAGGACCCCCAAATCAAGTACCCCGAATTTTCGCAAACTCCCAAACATACGGTAAGTCAGGCCGCGAAGAAGGCTTTGGGATGATGTTGGTTGAGGGATCGATTGACGAACATCACCTCGTGGCTTCCTCTGATGAGAAGCCGACATCGTCCAATCCGACAGTGGCCAGGAAAACGTGAGCCGCAGGCATCCAAGCGTAATATGGGGGCCTTATCATATTCTACCATACGTAATCCCCAAAATAGTATAGGTAATTTTAAAGCCCCTGTATGAACGAAGGCAAGACTATCTTAGGAGAGGCCCCCACCACTTATTGCAGGGACCATAAGTGATGATGCTAGTTACATTAGAGTCCTTCTACATTCCTAGCATTTTTCCACTACTCATGGGGCGGGGCCAACCCAAAAATAGACCCTCGTGATAGAGGGGTTTGAATCTTGTTTAACCCCGCAGACTCTATCCTGACACTTAAGGCCACGAAATGACCAGCCTGGAAGCCAAAATCGAGACGACCATGATAAGAACAGTGCACCGGCCAAAAACATGCTTTCTGGATGTGTAATTTTTTGAACTTCGACTTGAGCTTGCGGTCTAGGGGTTAGGGTTGACGGAAGACAAGGTTTGGGTTAAGGGTTTAGGGACGAGGGTCTGTGGACCAGGATTTGAGATTTCGGGGTTTACCGTACAGGGTCCAGTTGCCTGGGGAGGATACGAAACCGGGATCCCAATACAAGGGTATGATTACGAAAATGACGGCCAAAACCTCAGGGATCAAGACAGAACTCTCTTGGACGAGCTTTATTCGAAATCCAAAAACCAGAAGCCCAAAACCCGACCGTGGACCCAAAACCCAAACCCCCAAACCCTTAACAGACTCCTTCTGACCAAGAGGGTCTATATATACTACCATTATGGAACTCCCAAAAACCCAACACACCCAAAACCCTTTTTGCAGGACGCGCCTGGGCGTGGCGATGGTGTGAGGTCAGTGGGTACCGGATCGGTCATCCTCGGCGAACCCCTTAACCCTAAACAATACACAGAGGCCAAAAAGTAGTTCCTTTCTGGGATTATCTTATAAGATTCTATATACGAACCCCCCAAAGGAACTACTTTAGCCTCTCTTCTTTCACAACCGGGCCACAAAAAGATCAAACTTTCTAAAATAGGGCTAACATATAAGGCCAAAAAGTTTAAAGTTCCCCCGTTCACAATCTAAGAAACAACAAACCATTGTACCCAAAACCCTAAACGCTCTAAAGGGCTCATTCAAAGAATCAAATCGAGCAAGGGTCCTGGTACGGGCCCTTCTCCTGTGTGAAGCTCCAAACTGCGAAAATCACATCACATGCCACCAAAGTCACAACAATAGCAACTTGCCCTTTTGACGCTCGATATGTCATCACCGCAGAGGCAAAACTGCGCGAGACATGTTGCAAAAGGTGCAGTGTTGCCTGACATGATACCCTAACTTCCGTGCTATCACGCATCATATAGAAGCCTAAATAATCACCAACATTGTTCCTGAGGGCACCTGATTTAGAGAAGTACATTACACTATACACCAAAGCCCTGTTGAAATGATTAAGGGCCCTATGTCATTCCCAAAGACCTGCGAACTCAGGAGCCATAGGCGAAGCCGTTCCTTTGAGCGGATACTTCGCCTACGCCGTTCCTGAATCCCGTGTGTAATTGTGTACACCCTGATTTTTCTGGGAGACATTCATACAAACCTGTGCAAATATGTCCAGCAGCAGACGTAGACAGGTTTCGATATGTCAGGGTGTGAGAGGATGTAAAGAGCAATGCTGTTTGGCTTACGGTTTCGGGCTTATGCAAGCTGCCTGGCTGCTCCTTATAGCTGAAGCTTAACTTTTGGTACACAAGTGGTAACGAAATGGCATTCCAACAAGGAAGAACACGACATGTTGATTAGGGTGTGACCGACGGCTTTGAAAGAGGGACAGTTTCAATGAGGCTAAGGCATTGAATCTAGTAGCTGAGCCCACTGGCCTAAGACAAGCTGGTCAACCATGCCCCGAAACCTCAACCCTGTTTACCGTATATGCCCAGCAGCTCGGAACCGCACGAATTCACCTAACTTGCTGAATCCCGGGCCTAGGGACACCTGCCCTTTTCTACCAAACAGATGTTTTGAAAAGTGCAGAAGACTTCATGGGCTTAGTCTGCTTAGTTGCTGAGTTCATAAGCCCCCCAGAAGTCTATACTTTCAGTTTTATAGTGGGTAATAGCATCCCGAAAAGTGTGGAGTGTATCCACTCAGCTACTTCATGGGGCTGTGGGGTAGGCTTCGCCTCTCGAGGTTTCTATGGGCTTCTGAGTCTGCTGAACCCCACTTCAGCTGACCTGGCACCCCTGCAGCCATTCCTAAACCCTAAACCCTGAACCTGTAAACCCCTAAACCCTACCTTGACCCTGAAAAACCTACCTTTTTGAAAACTTATACAAAGAAATCATAATAGGGAACCCTAAAATGGTAGGTTATTGAGGGTACGGCTGTCCGAGCATCGGCTTGCCATAGCCCTGGATATAGAACATCATGCGGAACACGGCCCCCAACGGGTACCTGATTGCATCTGTTGGGACTACCTTAAAAACTATGAACCACAATATAGGAATTCATAAGGGCACCACCAACAAAGTAGATTTTGGTAGTTCAAGGTGAGGGTTTAAGTAAAAGCTAAAACGATCGGGTCATATCGGATCAAACACACACTTTGCACCGGATCAAAACGAACACCTTGCAAAAAGCCGAACTCCAAAGGCCTCTTCACAAAGTCACTAAAGCCGTCCTTTAGGATTTAGGGTTTGGCGTTTAGGAGCACCATTTGTGCGTGCGTGTGTTTGTCTGTGTGTCTTCAGCACCCTTAGGACCATAACTTAGCCCCTATTGAAGGGGCCCCGAACCCGTCGTGCAAACCGCTGTAAGCCCGAACTCCTCATATGGTAGAGTTACTTACAAGTCGACGTTCGGGCTGATCCTTGTTGAAGCTTAAAGTAGGTGGGGGTCTTCTGCAAGAAGGGCATCGCATGTTGAAATAGGAGGTGATCCCCAGCCCAGCCTAAGGCAACAATTTTATAAGTCTTTGGCTTCCCGAAGTCCGAGTGGGCAGATACTTGGTGCTCAGTTCCTTTCAGCGTATATTGTACAGGGTTTCTAGGGTTCAGGGATCCGATGGTGGATCGAGGGATGTATTGAGGGTTGAGGGTTCAGGGTTTAGGAGCGGCTACATGCACATAGTTACACCCCTTCTTCCTCAAACCCATACTGCAAGCAATTGCCTTGTTCGCGCTGTTGCAAAGTACACAGAGACCCACACCTACACTCAAAAAACCCAGTGCCGAACATAACCCCCAGGCGAGTTAATTGAATGTCTTTGAAAAGCTCAAATTAGAATCATTAGCACGCATTCCGGGGGCACTCCACAGTCTGCATGTAGCCGAAGATGATGGCTACCACCAGCGCCAGCAGCCCGCATAAGTTGCTACAGAATCCCATGGCCACCCACGGGAAGATTTTCACAACTGTACAGGACGATCTCGAAGCTGGGCCACGGCTTTGACGGGCAAATGCATCTCGCTTCTTGGGCAGTACCACCCCTCCTGTCCACATAAAGTTAGGGTTGAGGAAAACTTGCTCAGGCGTGTTTGTGTTGAGTCGTAAAGCTGCTTGTTCCGATCTTCTCGCATCAACCTTCGAATCCAGGTCTTGCCAGCTGTCAAAACTTGGCGCACCCTTAAACAAAACAACTCCTCCCCTAAGCGCAATCCGTCGCCACCTTGCCCGTTTCCGGATCACGGGCTACATCAACGCCACGTATTGCTTCCTACTACAGAACCAATGAAGTCGGGCACTCTGGTGTGATTTCCAACTGCACCTAAGATTCAAGTATTCGCCACGATCCTTTCCGTCTGCACGCTGCCCAGACTCAGCAACCGTCAACCCACCTTCAACCCTGGCACACCCACAAACCCTAAAGCGTGACGAATGCATGTGGACTTTGGACTACAACGTTACACCCTCCACCTCAACCACCCTTTATCGTTTTAAGCCCTCGACCTAAGCCCCAACAGTACAGTAGAAGCCCAAAAGTTGGAACCCCGATAGCCTCCAGCCTTAAGAGTAAAGTATAGGGAATCCCAGCACCACCCGGCCTCAATCCGGTTTCCAACTTTATGCGGTTTACTGTAGGTAGAATAGTATCTCTGATGTATCAGCCCATGTCTTCACAAGGCAGATGCTGGGATCCTAACATGAAGGCCCTTAAGGAAAGGGGATCTTGTAGTCAACAAGGACTAAAGTCGGGATCCTAATAGTAAGGCCAAGAAACACTATAGTCGGGGTCCTAAAACCCTAAACCCTAAACTCCTAAACCCTAATATTCAGGTTCCATCCAGGATGGGCCCTTGATTCTTCACGGGTTGTGCTGTGGCATTGTTTAGAAGCTGCCCCCACCCTGTAATAGTGGTACAATAGGAATATAATAGGGCATATAGGGCCCTACTATAATCCTTATACTCACTATTACAGGGTGGGGGTAGCTTCTAGGGCATTGTGTGGTTCCGTTTCTAGTTCCAGGACTCTGAGGCTTTCGTCTTATGAAGGGTTTCGGAGGCCTCAAGCAAGACAAAACCTCGCAAAATCTTCTACCCTCATCGAATACATGGCTCCGTACCGAAGCAGCTTGCACGGTACGGAGGGAAGGTGGGAAAGATGAAGAGAAACCTCAACCTTCGACATATCCATTGCATACTCCAAGATCGCATGCGTCTACATAAAGCGAAGCGCTGACTACATGTTTAACACCTTGTTATTGCGGCAATACTAAGAACAATACTCAACAAGGTGTTGCAATCCCACACCAAGTTCGGGAGCTCCGGCATGCCAAACCGCTATTTGCGAAACGGTGAACTCTTGGCAAAATGAGGCTTCGGGCACATCAGAAAGTTCCTGCCAAGGAGGTTTCAATCCCAGCAGAAACCTTCTTACCTATTCAACTATGAATTATAGACCGCAACTCACTATAGTGAGTTGCGGTCGACAATTTCAGGTTGATATCTTCCTTAAACCGGTTTAGAGACAGGAAGACGTAAATCCGAAACCGCAGAGTGCGGCGTGCACCTTCCCTGGAGAGCTCCGGCACGAACAGCAATCGCGGACAGAGCCCACCTTAAGGACACTAAGGGTCGGCAGAAAGACAAAAACGATCGGCAACCTCTCTTTCTGTGCTCTCTACCTGGATCAAAGGGACTCACACCAGCGAAAGACATGTGTTGGGCTCCCCAGTCAAACAATAACTGTACCGGGACAGGAACCCATGCTGCGAAGCTTCAACATAGGATACAGCCTTATCAAAGCGCCTTGTCAACTCGAACAGGGCTTCGCGGCTTTCGCCATGCGGGAGTTTCCGAAAATAAGGGTACCTTATTTGGGGGACCTTATAATAAGGATCCTATTATTTAGGGTACTATATTAGGGTCCGCTATTTTCGGAAGCTCCCATGTGGCGAATGAACTACACTATCTTGCAGCATTACCCTTCGAGTTGTTATTACGATACACTCACATACTCCTAATGATCAAACCCGACGTGGCTTTCTTTTGTGAGTCGACGACAGCCTCGGCCCTCTGCCATCACCGCAAGATCACTGATGTTTAGGGTTTCGAGTGTAAGGTGTAGGTGTTGACGACTGGGTTTGATAGGGCTGGTGATCTTGGATCTCGGAAGGCGTATGTGCCCAGAGGTGGGGCCGCGCTTCAGTTCGGCCATGTGATATCTCCCAATAAGTTCAGACTTCCGATTTACCTGAGCAAGATCCTGGCTGTAAGAAGCCCCAGCCCCGCCTGCACCCTGTAAAGCTTACCTGTGGCACGACCTGGTTTGGGAGTTTCCGAAACCCTAACTAGTAGGATCCTTAGTATAAGTACCGCAAAATAAGGTACTTAATCATATTTTGAGTAGGGCGTATATGGTACGTATATGGTACTTTTTTGTACCAAGGAACCCACACAGCCCTATGTTCTAATTAAGGCCACGGCATTATACCCGGACCCTGAACTCTACACCTCGAACTCCACGCCCCAAACCCTGAACCCCCCCCTCCGGTGTCCCCAGAAACTCCAATATCTCTTAATTAAGGAATATTTGATTTAAGGTATATTCACTACTTAAGGGATATTAGACCCCCCCAAATCCTAAACCCTAAACCCTACAGATCCCTTCAAAGGAACTGTAAAATTCCTTAATTAAGGGATATTGGAGTCTCCGGTGTCCCTGGGTGCAAGGCCCTTGTGGTCCGCACGTTGGAGCCATGCAGGATCCACGATCGAAGACATCGGACGTGGAAGCTCCTAAAAGGAACTCCAGAAAGTTGGAATATATATAGTACCCACATAGTATAGCCGCATAGCCATAGATCATAGAACCCTAGAAGGACCCAGAGACTCCAATATCCCTTAATTAAGGAATATTCCTTAAATCATATTAGGGATCCTACTATGATTTAAGGTATATTCCTTAATTAAGGGATATTGGAATCTCTGGGGGCTTTGACCGGGGGACCTCAAATAACCTACCTTTCTAGGGTTCCGTGATATGATCTTTGTATGTAAGACCTTGAAACGGTAGGTTATTTGGGATTGAGGTAAGGACTACCTTTCTAGGGTTCCGTAATATGATATAAAGACCTTGAAAAGGCAGGTTATTTGGGGTTGAGGTAAGGACTATAGGGGCTTTGATGTCCTGGGGTTCGGAGTCCTCACGTCGAATGCTGTCAGCATCTTGCTCCAGGCTGCTCGGAGCAATTCTGCAGGAGACGAGTGGAAGCGGATGCACCCACCCTCGTCAAGCATGAACCCCTGAGGGATGGCATCGGTCATGGAGGAGTGCAGCCACTGGAGAATCTCTCCGAGCCGCGAGCTCAGATTCTCTGTGTCGATGTCGGGAACGGCTAGCTGGCAGTCTGCGTGTTCCTGCATGAGAAGTTGGTGCAGCGACATGGAGCCAGCCGCGACGGCGTCCTTCGAGCTACTGGCATCAGCCATTCTGAGGCGGCGGTGAGGAGGAGGGCTGCGGCCGCGTCAGCCGACAAAGTCAAGTCTACGACTGCATGGCTCGTGCGTCCTCTGCTAAAACCAGATAGGATGATTGCTCTATTGTTATCAAAAGTCAGCAGATATAAAACTTTCTCTCTCTCTCTCTCTCTCTCTCTCTCGAGGCTATACCCTAAAACTCTGAGCCCCAAAAACCTGAAACCCTCCAGTCCTAAACCCTGAACTCAAAACAGAAAGTTCTGAACCCTGAAATCTAGTACAACTCTAAATCCTGAACTCTATCTAAGCTCCAAACCCTGAACTCGGGAACTGTAGTAAAGCTCGAAATGGGAGTTTCCGAGAATAGGGAACCCTAATAGCACCCCAAATAGTAGGATCTTCATGATAAGGATCCCAAAATAAGGTACCCCTAATTTTCGGAAACTGCAACCCCTTATGTAGAACCCTTTAAAAGGACCCTTATAGTACCCTTTAAAGGAACACCAGAAAGAAGGTACCCCGAATTTCCGGAAACTACCAAAAACCGCTCCTGGAAGGACTCCGGCGAAGGCGGCCAGTTCCTGGGCTCTTCTAAGTTGGCCCTTTAAAGCCTCTGAAAAAGATTCGTCAATAGGGTCCTATTCAGCCCAATAAAGGAAAATATAAACTATCCCAAAGGCCCACCTAGACTTGTTAAGAAACCTTAAATTAACTAGTTACCATAATAGGGTTCCTTGAAAGGGTTACTACAGGAGTACTATAAGGGTTCCTCTAAAGGGTTACTAGAGGAGTACGTTAAGGGTTCCTTTGAAGGGCTCTACAAGGGTTTTGGGTTTTGGCAGTTCCTGGGCTCTTGTTCAGGAACGTAAACTAACTAGTTACCAAGGGTAAAAGGAGGGGCCCTTAATAAGGACAATGACAAGAGAATATTGTAGTATTATAAGAGTCAAGAATAAAAGGAAGGGCCCTTAATAAGGACCCCTAGGTATATACCCTTAATATAGCTATTATATTCCCATTGTAGGGTAGGGGTCCCCGTTAAGGGTCCCTCCTTTTCCCTTTGATAGTTACCATGTTCGGGTTCCTTTAAAGGGATACTACAGGAGTACTGCAGCGGTTCCTTTACAGGGCTCTATAAGGGTTTAGGGTTTAGGGTTTGGGCAGTTCCTGGGCTCTTGTTCTTTAACTTACATCAAGCTACCATCATAGGGATCTATAGTATATAAACAATATGGCTTCTATATTATGGTAACTTACAATAGGGATCTACGGCCTTTTTTAAAAAGAGCATATATTTTTCAATATGATTTATGGACACTTACAGAGTACATTCCCTAACAGGGGCCCAGGTTCAGTCGCATAGCATCGGCGGCCTGGACGACGAACTGATGGATCTCCTTGGCTCAGGGCTCCAGGGTTCTAGGGTTTAGGGCTCCCTTTGGGGACTTCCTTTTGGGACTTCTTTAGGGTTCCTTAGGGCTCCAGGGTTCAGGGCTCTAGGGCTTCGTTTTGGGACTTCTTTATAAAGTTCCTTTAGGGGTTATGCCAGGGGTTCTATAAGGGTTTAGAGGTTAGGGCTCCAGGGTTCTGGGGTTTGGGGTTCCCTTTAGGGACTTCTGTTAGGGACTTCTTTAAGGGTTCCTGCAAAGGTTCCTTTAGAGTTCCTTTAGGGTTCCAGGGTTTAGGGTCCCAGGGTTTGGGGTTTAATTTGGGGGTTTAGGGCAGGGTTTGTGATTCGGGTTAGGGATCCGGGTTTAAGGTTCAGGGCAATGGTTGCGACTAGGTTAATTGTAGCAGTACCCTGTTTATTGGTTTTGCTGTAATTGCTACTGTTCTGAGCGTTTGTCTACGACGGCGACCACTTCCACCTCCACTCTACCTCTACGGTAACTACGTCTACATCTACGCCTGCTTCTACATCTACCACTGCTTCTGCTCCTACTTGTGCATACACTTCTACTTCGACCACCACTACGAATACTACTACGACTACGGCGACGACGACGACTACTACGAAACACTATTAATACGAACTACTACTCAACAACGACTGCTACTACTACTACTACGACGACGACGACTACTACTACTACTATACTACTACAACAACTACTACTCCCATACCACCACTACTACCAGCAATACTATCACCACTAGTACCACTAGTACCACCAGTCCCACCACCACTACCACTGCTACCACTACCACTACCACAGCCAATACCACTGCTACTACAACTACGACGACTACTCCTCTTATACATACTTGCATGGGTTTATGCAGCAACTTGCTTGCTTGCTTGCCAACACTATCTTTTAACTGCAGCAAGTTATCGGTTATATTTTTGTGACGTGGCTACTGCTTGCATTTGTGCACGTATACAAGCACGTACTAGTAGTATGTTGCAAGGATTTGTTAAATTGCGGTTATGCTTTAAGGTCCTTCGGACTTCAGTTTCAGGGCTCAAGGTTTTGGCTCTAGGGCTCAGGTTCTTAGGGGTGGTCAGCGCTAACGCTCGGGCGAGGCATGTGTCCACACGTGTTTTGGGCGGAAAGCATATGCAAGAATGGAGCTTAGCTAGGGCTTCAGAAAAGTCTGCTTCAATTTCTCTGTAGATTTGACATAGGCACTATCTTAAACCCTAAACCCCTAACCGCTAAAACCCCAGACACCCCTCTGAACCTGGACAGTGATAGGGGCCTTGAGAATTAGAATAGGGTTTTAGGGGCTCCTTATCATAATTATAGTATAATATGCTCCCAAACCCTATTCTAATTATTAAGGCCCCTACATTAAACACCCTCCGAGCCGCCGTCAGCTTAAGCTTCCATTGTCCAACAAGGCCTTGCTGGACTTGGTGTTTTAAGGTTTAGGGTTCGCGAGCGTCACAAACGGACCAGGGCTTGTGAAAGAGCCGTTGGATACTATTTAGAGAAGATATGGGGCGCTGAATCACTCGACTGCTTAATTGTTGGCCTGGGCTTTGGGTGTACCACCCTTTACGTATGAACAGGCTGTAAGGGATTGTGATTAGTACCACGAATAACTCAGAACTATGAAGGGGAGCTTTGGCGTTCCGACGTTCTTCCTCATAATACTCGAGCTTTCTTCTGAAGGCTTCGGGGCTTCTTGTGTAAGATTTGCACCGTATCGAGTCAAGTTTTAGGGTTTAGGGTTGTGTGGGACCTCTGACAGTTCAGGGGTTTGGCTTTGGATAAGGCCGTCTATCAAGACAGGAAAACGAGCTAAACCATAAATTCTGAACTGTCCATCCCTTCAGTTCGAAGCACTAAATCTCCAGACTGCTGCCAAGGTTTACGGTTTAGGGTGAGGCAATGACCAGCTCGCCTAACTTAAAAGAAGTGTGGCCTCTGTGCGAACCACAAGAGACCACCACCCGCGGCCAAGGCATGCCAGCAGCACAAAAAGTAAGTGAACTCGCACTCTGCATTCCGAACTCTTTAGGGTTTAAGGCTCAGGGTTGACATGTTATCCTCGCTCCCCAGAGACTCCAAAATCCCTTAATTAAGGAATATGCCTTAAATTATGATAGGATCCCTATTATATGAGGGTATATTCCTTTCTTTGGGTCTAAATGGCTATTGTTACATCGTGCTTAAACTTTCGAACTGAGGATCACCCACTTCGTTCTTGCGCATCCAAACTCTCTGATGATTTCAACAAGTCACGCCAAAGCCCAATGCTCCTAAATTCAGGAACATCTTTGTACGGAATGTCGGGCAATTTCAGTGAACAGTCTTTTGCTGAGGGTTCTCACTAACAAGGTGTACTGGTCTCTCTGGGTAACACAAAACGCTTTCGAAACCGATAAAGCCGATAACCACTCTGGAGCTCCGTTTTGGGTTCAGGGTTCCGTAAAACCTCCTAAAACATCTTAGAGAACTGCTGCTACGTTGGGGGTTCAGGGTTCAGTACAACCTCCTAAAACTTCTTATGGAACTGCTGCTGGCAAGGAACGGACTTTCTTCGGCTTTGTCAGCAATGGCATGGCCTCGCCTCGGCCCCAAACCAGCAATAGTTTTCTTTGCTCTCTATAAGGTTTGGAAGTATGAGACTTAGTAGCTAGGGCCTCCCCAACCCCTGAAATTTAGAACGATTTGGTGGCAATACGCCAAAAACGCCGAGGGTTTACGAGGCTTCAGTGTTTTGGGTTTCGGGTGTGTGGGCTTTTTGGCCTGGTCATGGGCTCCGTAAACCCTCAACCCCCGATCCTGAAAACCCTACATCCTAAACCCTGTAAACCCTGATGGGAGGCCAACAGGGGGGTTCAAGATTCTTGGGGTAGGGATTCCTTTATATGAACCCTATTATGGGCCCTACTAAACCCCCATAGGCTAAGACCCTTTTGGCCTCCTATGACCTATGAAACCCGAATCCCGAAACGTTGGAGTTCCCTGGCCGGGAAGGAGTTTCTCCCCCAGCCATAAGGATGATCGATGCCGGTACTCCCCATCATAGGGGCTGAGTACCGGAGCCCAAGAAAGGTTCACCTTTTCAGTTAGGGTCGGGTTATATAAACCCCAAAAGGTTAGAGGTTACATACTCAGCTACTAACTCATACTTGAAGAAAGGAAACCAAGGCAAACTCTGCTTATGGGGATTGGGATGTCGGGTTCAAGGCTTTCGGGCGCGGTTCCGTCGGTCTCAGGTTTTGAGATTTGGGATCTAAGGCATGCAGGGTCTAGTTTTGAAAGCTTTGGGTGAGGGTTTGAGGGTTCAGGCTGTCGGGTTTAGTGTCAGGCACATCGTTTAGCGGCAAACGCAGGGTTAGGTGTTAAGGAGTTGCCTCAAACCGGGAAGAAGCATCTGAATCATGTACATCTCCACTCCAAGCGAGGCGCAGATGGCGGGGTTCTGTGCCAGGATGTGAAGCAACCTGCACATTCCGGAGCCCAAACCCTCAGTGGCCGAAACCGATACCAAACATGGAAAGGGACACTGCGCAGATCAAACGAAGGAGTGAAACTCTACAAGTCTACAACAAACAGAGCCTGAACGCTGCTCTAAACCCTAAACCCTTTTCAGCATGGGCTTGGATTGTGTGCCAGCGAACACTCCTCAACAGCAGGGCCTTGTCGTTTGACGAAGGATGCAAACGCGGGAGTCCTAAACCTATACTGAGCTTAGAACCCTAGCAAGAATTATCATTTTAGCTGTTTCTTAGGGATTATAATAACCAAAACTTAAAAGTTATTTCTAAGTACCCCTAAGAAACCCTAAACCGTCAGGGTATCCGGTGCCTAGGGAGCGTTCTCGGCTTCGGCTCGCAACTCGCCCGGGGCAGTGATTAGTAGGGTTTTGGGGGTGTAGGGTTTATGGCTTAGGAGGAATCGGGTTTCAAGAAAAGCCAATACAGATTACAGGGCCTATTACAGGGGACTTAATAATCAGAATAGGGTTTCGGGGTACAAAGAAGTAGCCATACCAGGAACCACCGGCCCTTCCGTAAGCACTAAACCCTACTCTAAAACACTGTTAAAGCCGATTTCAACTCCCGGCCCCGCGATGAAAATTCGAAAGCCTTAAATCCTGATCCTAACCCCTTTTTTCAGCACGGGCTTTGGTTGTATGCCGGCAAGCTGGGCTCTCAAGGTCCTAACCACTAAACCCTAAACCCAATCCCGTAAACCCTAAACCTAAACCCTAAGCCGGAGAGCGAGGCCAGAACGCCGTGGTGTCGGCTTCCCGGCATGAGGTGGAGCAGCAACATCGAGTAGGTGTGTTGATGCCTTAGAGTTTAGGGTTTGGGAGTTTAGGGTTTAGGGGGTTTAGGGTTTAGAGGTTTTGGGATTTAGGGTTTGGTGCTTGCCTGTCTGACGTAAACTATCCGAAACTACTCATAGCACACTCTGAGGGGTTGAAACGTCTAAATCTGTCTTGAAACCCCATCCACTGTTGAATTATCGGAAGCTCCGTCGGGCCTTAGGAAATTTGGTGAATGCTTGTGTTGTGAGTTGCTGTTGCCGGCAAGAGGTCTCGTGTCTGTACCAGTACTACGTATGATGCTTAGCCCGAGGATGTAGCGCTCCCAAACCCTGCACCCTCAAACTCGAAGCCGCGTGGCGATAGCTGTGTGTCCTTGGCTCGACTGAGACGAGCGCCCGTGGAGCCTTAGCTGGGAAGGAACAAGCATAGTTGTAGTTGTTATTGTTGCCTACTACTTCGCAAGGACGGTTTAAGGCTTCGGGTATACCGTATATACCGTAAACCCTAGAGCCTTCCATTAGTTGCGCTTGTGGGTTTGATGTTCAAGCTCTTGACGCTCACACTCAGACGCGCCAGCACCAGGTCGGCATCTTCAAGTTTTGGGCTTTCAGAGTTTGGGGTTACAGGAAACATCGGTTGCTGGGAGAAAATCTTAAATCGGATAAGAAGTAAACCCTGAGCTCCCAACTCCAAATCTTAAGCCCTACCAACGACCTCCTGAATCCCAATGCCTCAAACCCCTTCAACCCAAAACCTGTTGAGAACCCTAAACCCACAACCGAAGAACCCTAAACCTCTGCAAGGAATATCTCCCCGAAGCCCTAAACTCTAATTCCCGAAACCCTGGACCCTCAACCCTTTTGCATCCAGGACTCTTGCAATCAGCCCTCAACCCTAAACCCCTAGACCCTGAAACCTCGAAGCCTTTGGAAACCCAGTGGCAGGTGAAGAGGGAGTAGAGGAAGGCCCAGGTCTTGGCCGCCTGGATTTAATTTTTTTTAGGGTTTGGATTTAGGGTTAGGGTTTAGGGTTTAGGGTTTGGGGTTTCGACTCGCACGCTCGCTGACGCAGGCACAGGGTTTAGGGTTTAGGGTATAGGGTTTAGGGTTTAAGGTTTAGGGGTTTAGGGTTTAGGGGTTTGGATCATCATCCCTGGCTCCTTAGCTCCTCCGATATCAATGGTTAGTCAATCATAGTTCAACATCTTCGGCCCATCCCCAGCTCTTCTAGGGCCCAGTTCAGGTAGAGTAAACCCCAAAAAGTTGGAAACCGGATTCAGGCCAAATAGTGCTGGGATTCCCTATACATTACTCCTAAGGATTGAGGCTATGGGGTTTCCAGCTTTTGGGCTTCTACTGTAGGGTTGGAGTTTGGGGCTCCCTCCTACTTAGCATGGACGAAGCCCACGTTGCAGGGTGAGTTTGAAGAGCAGTTGGAAGGGCTTGGGATGCAGGGTGTAGGGTGTTGTAAGTTTTGGGTTGATTTAGGGTTTCGGCTGTCTCGGTTCCTTTCCTCAATGTTACAATTAGTGTTTTGTAAGTTTGGGGTTTCGGGTTCTGTCAGTTGTGCACAAACAGTATGTAGGGACTACATTAAGGCCAATGTATCTACGATTTGGGCACATGGACCCTTAGGCTAGATCCCCTTAAGTTACCATTTAAGTTACTAAGTCCCCGAATACCCTGACCACACGAGTTCGGGACTTCTGGCTCGCGTTTCGAGGGCAGAACCCCTCCGGTTTAGCTTCTTTTTTGAATGCCCCTTCTGTATCCGCCTGAAAGTGGTTTAGAGGGTAATGTTTAGGGACATGGGAGCTATTTTTTTGTACGTTTTTTTCTCTTCGTGAATATTTTATTTAACTGTTCCCTCCTTACTGCAACACAGTTTGTACCAGAGGTTCTGATTGCTGTACTCCTGCAGCACTGCTGACGTTGTATTGGATAGAATCTTCGGGCCGTGGCTAAGCGCGCTATCGCCTTGGTCCTAGAGTTGCTGCGAATGACCATCCTTGCCCTGACGACTGGAAGATTTGAACTGCTGTCTGCAATGCCTGTGTTGGACTCTTTAGTAACCTGTAACCCTTCATTAAAGAATTGTAAGCCCTATAACCACACCTTCACCACTATCGGAATAACCTTGCTGATATCCGTGACATGTTGTTCGCCATGGGGCACACGCCCTCGACGTGAAAGAAACATAAGCATAAACAAATACATATACATATGTATGCATTTACGCATATATTCACATATATCCTGTCTGGACAGATGCGACTCAAGGCATTCAGCCACATTTCCTGTTGTTTGAAGAGTTCCACCCAAAGCCGAAACCCTAACTGGCCACAGCCAGAAGCCAGCGCCGCCTTGCCGTAGTCTTTGAGGCTCATCTTTCCCTGCAGCATCCTCGGCTGCATCTCCACATGTTCCCACAAAAAACCGAAAGCCCCAAACCCCTAAACCCTAGACCCAAAAGCCCTAAACCGCGACCCTTAAACACACTAAGCCTTTTGCCCAAAACCTGAGACCCTGACTTGGTTTCCTGGATATTTTGACAGGTGCTGCCTGCTGATGGCGCCATCGCTGTTTCGAGCAGTGTTCCAGTGGCTTCAAGGAGATGAGTAGCTAGAACGGATGTCTGCTTACTGATTATTCGTTTGCTTGCTGACTTAGTTGAATGTACACAGCGTACATATGTATATTTCTGACAATATGTGTATACGGATACGTAGGGTACATGTATATGCACATCACTATATACATAACAAAATACTTATATAGACACATCAATATCTATATATATATATATATATCTATTTATTTAGTTATTTATACACACATACACACACCTCTACATGTGTAGATCGTTATGCGTATATGAGTATATGTTAATCTGTGTATATGTGTATATGTATCTGCAACTGAATGTGTACATGTGTATTCATCTGAATACGTTTGTGTACATGCATACAAATATGCATATGGACATTTATATGTGTGTATGTATGTGCATGTGGCTATTGGTATCCATATCTGGTTGTGTATGTGCGCATGCATATCTGCGCATATGTATATACTCACACACACACATACACTTACATGTAGATATACACACGCTACATTCTACTTCTACACATGCGTGTTGACACATAGGCGGATTTCAGGCATTTGCGGCTCTATCCTTAAGCGGAAGGTCCTGTTGGGGCACCTCGTTAAACCGGCCGCTGAAGCACGGCTCATGCTTGAGTCTAGCATTCACGCCTTCCCTGCGGATCATGCCTCACACATACTTCCTTAGGGGCTGAGTACCCTAGCCCCCAAAAAAGTTAACCTTTTCAATTATGGAAAGGCTACATAAATACATAAATCCAAACTACGGCATTCAAACGAGATTGAAATGCTCCAGGGCTGTTCGGTGTAGGACCCAACGGCTTAGAGCTTGAAGCTTCACTTAGGGCTTGCAGTCAAATATCGGAGCCTAAACAACTACCAACGTAATTCCTCAGGCTTCTTATTGTATTCATAGAGTGATATACCTCGAAACCCTATCCTGATTGGTGGGGTCCCTACATTACCTTTTGGGGTTTGGTTTTCTGGCCAACCCTATACCCAAAACCCGAAACTGGCCGCCCGAGGGTCTCGAAGGCTGTGCTGATCGCCATGGGGAATGGGAGCCGGCGCATCATTGGAATCTCCTGTGGATCCCCAGACCCCCGACAGGATCCAAAAAGTAGATCCCTTAATGGGGGGTTCCTATAAAGTACCCTTTGTAGCTAAGGTCCCAAATTAGGGGATCTACTTTCTAGATCCTCCCGGGGGTCTGGGTTAGTGTCAAGGGTTTAGGATAACTTTCGCAAGCGGAATTGCACTCCCTATACCCAAAAAATCCTATGCAAACAGAACCATACACAACCCTTTACACCTTGTAATATATCACTCTACAAAACTACCCAACGTTCTTACTGTAACTGTACATAGTCTGCGGGCTGGCTGTTGTGCTGTATGCTTTTATGCATGCTCTTCTGTAATTCGTATTCATAACATTTTTGGCTCAAGTGAGCACGGCAGTGTGTCGTTGGTAGCTTCTCGTTGCCGCGACGCAATTGCGCGCAGCCCGTCCTGGGCGGACGTTCGACCTGTCACGGTCGTTGGACTTTCTGCTTGGACGGAAAACGAGGGTGCGTGCTGCCCCTTTGGGTTTCCGTTCTCCACAATTGGGGGCTGTTCTGGGAAACGGCCACCCAGGCGGCTGCTGCGCCGCAATCTTTTAACGTGGCCTCGAAGGCGCGCTTGTCGTGCGCCTTGAGGCCGTGGTCCTGTGTGGCACGGGGCTCTCTCCTTCGCTAGGCGACCATGAGCGCTGAGGTCGCAGGTCAGCCGGAAGGAGCCACGTTGCTGAGGTGCATCGAGGATGGGTCAGTGGAGTACCCGGAGAAGATGCCCTTTATGTACTGGCTCCGTTGGCGTAAGGAAACGGGGTCCCGTCCCACCAAGAAGAAGGACGGACGATCCACGACGCTAGCAGATGAACAGCGTCTGTGGAAGGAGACGATGGAATTCCTCTACGACAACTTCGATGCCGAAGAGGAAGAGGAAGAAGATGAAGAGGAAGATGAGGAAGCTCCAGCTGCGGAAGCGGGCCCGGGTGCTCAGGATGGCGATCCGGGCCCCAGCTCTGAAGAGCTTCTGCCGGAGGCCGGGGTACCGGCTCCGCGTCCTGCCGCTGCGCCGGCGGACGTGGCCGAGACGGCGCGCCGTGTTGGTGCGCTTGCTCTCTCGCCGGTGGCCGGCGGCCCGGCCCGTTCCGGGCCTCCCTCGTCTGCTGGGACGGGTGGTCCCGTCACGGCGGAGACCCTGCAGGCGGACCTGCGGGAGCTCTACCGTCCCGACCAGGAACCGGTCGCGGATTACCTGACGCGGGTTTCAAGGCTGGTTGTGGCCTTGAAGGCGCACCAGGCAGAGGTCACGGTGGAGGATCTTGAGAAGATCACTACCAAGGCCACCATCCTTGCCGAGGAATACGGCAAAATGGGAGGTGACTGGCACCCTGCCAGGATGGTGCGGGCCCTGCGCACCAGGTTTACCGTTGCCGCGGTTTCTCTTGGGTCGGAAGACCGAGAGGAGGTCGAGAAGGAGATCTCGTGCCTCGGCGAGCTGATCTTGGCCCTGGGAGGCAAGAGCAGCGGCGATCCCGAGAAGGTTTGGAGCACTCCTTCTTCTGTCCCGGCCCTGGCGGCCCGGACGGGCGCCGTTGCGGAGTCGGGCTCTAAGTCCGGAGCACCGGCGCCTCTCCCGGTGGACCTTCAGCTCGCGATCCCTGAGGATCCGCAACCTGGTCCGGGGGACTCACCCCTGAAGTCCCGCCTTGCGGCTCTGGAGATAGAGCTCGAAGGGCTTAAGAAGGATAAGCCCGGCGAGCCTCACTCCGCCAGCGGCGGAGCCGGAGAGCTCGCTGCAGCTTTGGCGGCCCAGACCGAGGCGCTCAAGGAGGCCTTGGCGTCTCGCGGAGGTCAGACGTCGATCACGACCGTGAAGACGGACCTCCAATGGCCCTCGCTCACCGACGATCGCTCCGACATCCGGGACGTGGTCCAGTTCTACGAAGAGTTCGAGGACGTCTGTGGCCTTGCCAACAACTGCAAGGGGATGAATTTCCGGGAGAAACTCATCGCCCTTCGTGCTCGCTGCCGCGGCTCGAGGCTTAAGACCTTTACTAACGTGTACAAGGCTGCCTCCAAGACCGGGGAAGTTACTGAGAATCCCCAAGCCGTTTACGAAAGGATCAAGCAGCGGCACCTTGTCTTCGGCGAGAGCCGAGAAGAGAAGGAGATGAGGGTGGACGCGGAGCACGTCGCCCTCACTAAGGGCCGTCTCACAGGGCACCAGTTCGAGCCCCTGTTTGAGGCCTCCATCGCGGAGCTGGAGAGTGTGGGTCTTGGCAAGACAGCGAGGGAGCTCTTCCTAAGCTACTTGCGCAAGATGCCTCCACATCTCCAGAAGGAGATCCGCGGTGATAAGCGGTTGTGGCCTAGCGACGGCGCATCCGCAGGGCTTCGAGGCCCTTCGACCTGGGAAGAAGCGCATAAGGTCGTCCTCGAATATGAGCAGCGTGAGGCTGCGCATCGGGTGACGGCTAATAGCGTGTACGCAGGTTCGACGGAAGACCCAGCCCTGTCCGCCGCGCGGAAGGAGGTCGAGAAGCTGAGGACGGAGCTCAAGGCTTCTAAGGCCGCGGCCAAGGCGGCCGCCTCTTCCACGCTTGCCGCTGGTCCGAAAGGAAATGGAAAAGGTAAGCCTATCTGTTTCCATTTCCGCGACCACGGGAACTGCCCAAAAGGGGACGCGTGCCCTTACTCGCACGACAAGGAGCTCCGCAAAAAGGCCCTCGCGGCCAAGAAGGAGCGGGACGCGTCCACCCTGGCGACAACGCCGGGGAAGGGCAAGGGCAAGGGCAAGGGTGGACCCGGAGGGCAGCCCAAAGGCAAGGCCAAGGCCAAGCCCAAGGCGAAGTCCAAGGCGGGCGCGAAGCCGCCAGGGACTATCTGCCCTTTCTTCAAGAAGAACGGGTCGTGCCGTAAGGGAGCGGACTGTGACATGGTCCATTCGCTTCCCGCCACTGGGGGAGCCGCGTTGCCTTCGAACTGGGCGGCCCCGAGTGGCGCCGGGATGGTGAATCCCTTCGCTACGCTCTCCATCCAGATTGGGAGCGCTGGCACGGTTGTTGCGGCGAACTCCTCCGCTTTCCCGCTTGCCAAGAGCTCGTCGTCGAAGTTCAGCTCGTTGGACGAGCTGCCTCAGGACTGGTGGCACCTCTGCGAGAACGAGGTCGGGGGGTACCAGTACAGAACAGTCGTGCAGGTCATCGACGGCATGGTGGAATGCATGCTGGACGGGTGTGCAGGCTCGAACCACATCACGGAGGAACTCCTCTGTGGGATCCTCAACCGGGCTGCTGCCTTGGGGATCGGCACGGAGGACCGGAGGTTTCCTGTCGTGAAGTTCGAACGCTGGGTGCATCCGGAGTTCGTCCATGGGATCGCTGCAGGGAAGCCGGTGCCCCTGAAGGGGGCCGTCGTGCTGAGAGTCCGCTTTCTGGAGGGGCTCTCCCCCGACAACTGCAGCGAGGGTCCAGAGATATTCGTGCGCTGTAAAATAGCCGCGAAAGGAACCTCGGATTGGCATGGGCTCATCCTTGGCGGCCGCGCCTTGGATTGCTCGGGACGGCAGGGCTTGGGCTTCAAGCCCCTTCCTGACTGCCACTCCCTGGAAACCCTTGGGATTAAGATCCCCAGGTGCGAAGACTACAGTAGGTCGCGGAAGGACCGCGCCTACGCCTTCGAGTCCAGGCTTTCTAGTCTCGACGGTGCTCTGTGCTTTGAGCCGGGTACCGGAGGCAGGGACCTGCTCCGGTACAGCGGGGAGAACCCGCTGGAGCTCTTGGCCGGAGATGGGGTCATCGCACCTGTGAAGAGGGAAGGCAGTGGAGGCCAGGATGGCTCCCTTACGGAGGCTGTCCTCCCGGTAGAGTCCGCCAACTGCGAAGCAGTGCCTGGGCTGTGGCCCACAGGAGCCGAGGAAGGTTCGATCTTGCTGGTAGCCGAAGAGGACACGACTGTCTCTCCGGGTGCCGTCGTCGGCGAGGTCCGGACCGGGCTCGCGCAGACCACCGCGTGTGAATGCGGAGGGGTTGAGACCCTCTTTACGGACGCGAGTGGTGACCCGTGTGGGAACTGCGGATTAGGCACTGCCGAAGACTCGACCTTCCCTGGATGCTTTGCGTGCGGGTCCACCGAGAGGACCGCCGTCTGTGGCCTGCAAGGCTGCGGCGCATGCTCGCACAGCAGGGGTTGGCGTAAGGGCCTGAGGGTTGGGGCGGTTTTCGCCCTTGCCGCCGTAAGCACGGTCCTAGGAGGGCCTTGGGCCACGGAGTCCGTGGTTACGGATCCGGATGCCGTGTCCTTCCTCTCCTCCATCCCCACTGAGGGCCAGTGGTGGCAGACGAAGGGAGGAATGGCTGGCCTTTGGAGCGGCAGGCCCCAGGAAGGTGACCCGGAGAATCGGCCGGATGTCGAAAGGCTTCCGTACGAGACTTGCCTCTTGAAGTCTTCTGGCGGCCCGTGGCGGTTGTGGCAGACTAGGGACCTCAGGCTTTGGCCCGAGTCTGTCGACTGGTCGACCGTGCCCGTCACGTCCGATCTCGCGGTCTTCAGGACGAAGACGGGGCCGCGTTGGGCAGGATGGGATGCGGGTTCCGCTACGAGGGGGCTTGGAGGAAGCCACGGCCGAGACGTCACTAGTGGTTCCAGAGTGGACACTAGGAACGAGCCGGTGTACCACATAGTGGAATCGGCCGACATTGAGAAGATGATCGAGGAACCTCCCTCCGACTACTACTACGACAAGCTGCGGGAGGATATGGGTGCGAGGCACAAGGGTGCTTGCCCGCACCTTCTCGATCACCTGGTCTCTTTGGAAGCTTTCCTCGACAAGAGCATCCTCTTTGGGTTCTCCTTTGGTGTCGCCAAGGCTGAGATCTGTGTGTCAGAGGGTAAGCTCCTCGGGCACCGGATCGGGCGGCACGGGAGTGCGCCCGACGAGGAGCGATGCCAAGCGGTCGTGGATTTCCCGCCGCTTAAGGAAAAGCTCCACATCCAGCAATTCCTTGGGTGTGCGAACTGGCTTCGGGGCTATCTGC